TGTTGAACTTCCCATTTCCCAAAGTGGTCATACCAATATACATTTCCAGCAGCCGTGTAGTTTTAGTTACTCCAACTCTTAACAAACATTTGGCATTTTCTGGGTTTTTCATTTTAGCTATTCTGTTGGATGTGAGATTAAAATCTCATTTAGGTTTTAATTTGCATTTCTCTAATGATTAAATTAGTTGAGTACCTTTTACATGTTTTTCAGCCATCTACATGCCTTTTTTAAAAAAATTTTTTTAAGGAACTAATATTTAGATACCCTCTTTTGTGAGGTGACTGTTTAAGTTTCTACCCTTTTTTTTTTGAGATGGAGTCTTGCTCTGTCACCCAGGCTGGAGTGCAGTGGCGTGATCTTGGCTCACTGCAACCTCTGCCTCCTGGGTTCAAACAATTCTCCTGTCTCAGCCTCCCAAGTAGTTGGGATTACAGGCACGTGCCACCACGTCCGGCTAATTTTTATATTTTTATTAGAGATGGGTTTTGTCATGTTGGCCAGACTGGTCTCAAACTCCTGACCTCAGGTGATCTGCCTGCCTGGGCCTCCCAAAGTGCTTGGATTATAGGTGTGAGCCACTGCGCCTGGCCTCTACCCATTTTTTATTGGCTGTCTTATTTTTTATTGATTTATGGGAGTCTACAAATTCAAGATAGGAGCAAAGAGACATATTTCTATTGTAGAAATGAATGCATTTGGCTAGGTGTGGCAGATTACATCTGTAATCCCAGCACTTTGGGAGGCTGAGGTGGAAGGATCACTCGAGCTCACGAGTTCCAGAACAGCCTGGGTAACGTGGCAAAACCCAGTCTCTACAAAACATACAAAAATGAGCTGGGCATGGTGGTGTGCACCTGTAGTCCCAGCTACTCAGGAGGCTGAGGTGGGAGGATTGCTTGAGCCCAGGTTGAGACTGCAGTCAGCCAAGATCACTTCATGGCCTTCTAGCCTGCATGGGCGACAGGGTGAGACCTTATTCCCTCCACCCCAGCCCCCCAAAAAAGAAATGAATTCATTTGTTTGATGCTGTTAGAACACCACTAACTACCTTTGGCCCCAAATTCACAAATGAACCCTCCAGAAGATAATGCAGTTAACTTCATGCATTCTCTTTAAACAATGTACTACGTTTTTATGCCAGGGAATTTGGTATTAACAGACACAGTACAGGTCTCTCATTTCAAAGTAGTATTCCTAATCAAGAAGGAAATGAGAGACCTGTATTGGAACCGTCTTTAACATCTTTGAGGTTGGTGAATTTAGGTAAGTTATTCAACCTATTTTAGCCTCAGTTTCTTCATTGGAAAAATGGGGCAACAATACTTATTTTACAGAGTTGTGAGGATTAAATCAGACAATATATATAATAGGCTTTGCACAGTGGCTGGCATACAGGAAACGTTTAATATATGGTAGCTACTATAAACTCGGTTATTTCCATATAGCTTTCCATGTCTACATGGAGGAAGAAAATGAGCAATGTCCGTTGTAGTTCAGCTATTACAGTTTTCACTCCAAAGTAAAAAAGGCATTTAGATTTACGTAAGTCTTCTGGGAGTTTGGTTCTTCTGACTCCCTTCATCTGTGAGATCATAGGTACTTTTATGTAATATGATAAAAATTATTAGAAAAAGGAAAAAAACGGCCAGGTGCAGTGGCTCACGCCTGTAATCCCAGTACTTTGGGAGGCCAAGGCGAGTGGATCACCTGAGGTCGGGAGTTGGAGACCAGCCTGACCAACACGGAGAAACCCCCGTCTCTGCTAAAAATACAAAATTAGCAGGGTGTGGTGGCGCATGCTTGTAATCCCAGCTACTTGGGAGAGTGAGGTAGGAGTACCAATTCAACTAAGGGGGGGTGGGGTGGGGGGTGGGCGGAGGTTGCTGTGAGCCGGGATCGCACCATCGCACTCCAGCCTGGGCAGTAAGAGTGAAACTCTGTCTCAAAAAAAAAAAAAAAAAAAAAAAAAAGGAAAAGAAAAAGGGAAAAAAAGGCCAGGAACGGTGGCTTATGCCTGTAATCCCAGCACTTTGGGAGGCCGAGGCGGGCGGATCACAAGGTCAGGAGATCAAGACCATCCTGGCCAACATGGTGAAACCCCGTCTCTACTGAAAATACAAAAATTAGCTGGGTGTGGTGGTGCATACTTGTAATCCCAGCTATTTGGGAGGCTGAGGCAGAAGAATTGCTTGAACCTGGGAGGCGGAGGTTGCAGTGAGCCAAGATTGCACCACTGCACTCCAGACTGACGACAGAGCAAGACTTCATCTCAAACACAAAAAACAAACAAACAAAAAAAAGGGAATAAAGATATATGCAAAGTACAGTCCCTCAAATTTTTATTAGACCCACAGAAATAAAATTAGTCTGTTAAATTGCTATAAGTTTCTACATTTACTTTCTGTAAACGACTTGTCATGGATGTGTAACAAAGGGCTTACAGACTGGCACTGCCCTGTGGACCACACTCTTGGTGGAACTGCTCTAGAGTGCTGACAAAAATCAGACTTTGAATCCACAGGGCTGAAGTCAAAGCAACTGAAGGGTGTCCTGACTCACGGCTGGCCACCTAGTGGCCTCTTTCTAGTCATAAGCACAATGTTGTGTCACTCCTTAGTTCAAAAACCATCCATTGTTCTGCCTGACTCAAGGGTAAAATCTCAGTCCTTTAATCTGACATCCAAGGCCTTCCAGAGCTGGTTCTAAACTTTTTAAGTCTGACTTTCCACTATTCTCTATTTCACTAGACTGCACTGTCCAATATGGTAACAACTTGTCCCACTTGAAATGCAGGAAGTGAAATGAGGCTAATTTAGGAACCGAATTCATAATCCTAACTTTAATTTAAAATAAAATTCAAAAATATACACGATTCGATTACCGTACAACTTTTAAGTATGCTTGGAACGACTTGGATATGTGAATCTATTTTTTTAGCTGGAAATTTTACGAAATCAAGTACTGAGATATGCTATAAGTATAAAATACACACCAGATTTCAAATGCTTAGTTATGAGAAAAATGTAAAATATTTTTAATGTTTAGTGATTTTTTATATTGATCACATGTGAAATAATATTTGGATATACTGGGTTAAATAAAAGGTGTAATTAAAATTAATTCCACCTAGACAACATGCCCCAAACCTAGGCATCACTATTGATTCCTCCTTTTCCTCATTTAATTGGTGAGCAAGATAGGTCAGCTTTTTGGATCCATCCACTTTCCTCACCTCTACTGCTACTATCCTAGTCCATGATACTCCGTTTCTTAAATCCTTCAATGGCTTCCAGTGCACGTCACCTTCTTATCGAGGCTGAAGACTTCACCTCCTATCATTCCTTCTTTTGGTCAGTAGACTTCAGCTACACTGACCTTGCTGTTCCCTAAACACAACAAACTTCTCTTAGGGCCTTTGCCCCGCTATTTTGGTCTCATACTCTGTTCTTAAGTCCTTTCTAATACCTTCTCAGTGAGGCCATCTCTGATCAACCAACCACCAAAAGTCTGCTCTTTTCCCCAGACTAACACTTCATCCTATCAGCCTTTAATTCTCTTCACAAACTTTTTTTTTTTTCTTTTTGAGACGGAGTCTCGTTCCATCGCCCAGGCTGGAATGCAGTGGCGAGATCGCGGCTCACTGCAGCCTCCATGTCCTGGGTTCAAGCTATTCTCCTGCCTCAGCCTCCGGAGTACCTGGGATTACACAAGCGTGCCATTGTGCCCAGCTAATTTTTGTATTTTTAGTAGTGATGGGGTTTCGCCAGGTCGGCCAGGCTGCTCTCTAACTCCTGAGCTCAGGAGATCCACCCGCCTCAGCCTCCCAAAGTGCTGGGATTACCGGCGTGAGCCACTGCACCTGGCCTTCTTCACAAACTTACGGGATATTTTCTCATTTTAAAAACCTGTTTATACGCTGTTTCCCTCTAAAAACAGGAGTAGGAACCGTTTGTTTTGCTGCTGCTTTATTTCAGTGTAGGTGAACACCTACTCTGTACCTGGCACAGAGTAGGTGTTCTTCCAACAGTGTTGAACGAATATCTAATTGCTGACTACACGTATCTGTCTGGTTGGCTCACAGGCACTTCGAATTTTACATGGTCAAAACAGAGACTTCTTTCTTCCCTAACATATATTCTCTTATTTTGTTTCTAATCTCAGTGAAGATATTACTATCCTCGTAGCTGCTCCAACTCATTTGGCAGTCACCTCTGACATCTATTTTCCTCAGTCATTTTCAGTTAACGAAATCTCCCAATAACCACTTCATCTATCTTCACAACTACTTGCCACCAACTCAGTCCAAGTCATTGTTGGCTCACAGTCTACTGTTTACTCCAAACTCTTTTCCTTGCCTCAAATTTTTGTGTAACAGTGATCTGTCTAAAATGAATTCAATCCTGATTCTTCTACTTAAAATCTTTCAATATCTTCCTCCTGGCTCTCAGAAGCTGACTTCTGCATACAGCATTCAAGGCCTTCACAAGCAGACCTCCAGCACTGTCTTCTTTACCCAAAAATCTCTCCAGTGTTTGCCTCCAAACATCGGTACTTACTGCTTCTTATCTAGGTCTTCCACAATACCCTTATTAAAGCCAATTGCTTCTCTAGTCCCATTCCATTTTATTCCTCCCTCTTGGTTTAGTAAGGGGTTCCTCCTTTATTTGATTCCACAGTATTAAGTAGCTTCACTCTCATCATACTGATGATGCCTACTTACTTGTCTACATTCTACAGTGTAAGATTAATGGGGGAAACGATTTTCTAACAATAATTAGCTGAATGTTCACTCAAACAATGCTCATCTGGGGGCAACGATTTTCTAACAATAATTAGCTGAATGTTCACTCAAACAATGCTCATTCAAATAATGCTACAGAAAAGCATCAGCATTTTGACAAATTTCTATTAACCGAAGCAATGAAAATATTAAATCAAAAGAAAACATAAGACTATGGTTCCTATGCTTTTTTTCTGTTTTAGCCACAATGCTTTAATAAATTACGCAAAGACTACAAACCTTTATTACATCAATTGTTACAAAAAGCTAAATGGAGAAAGATTACTTATCTGAGGCTGCACAAAATCAGTGGGCAATATGGATTTCATTTAAGCTTGTCAGTTCTCCTGGATTAAATTCTTGGCGCTGTCTCACATACTCCCAAGTCCTAGATGTAGGATGCTATAAGTTGCAGTTACTAGGTTGGGAAAGCCATGCCCTGACTCTCCTGCGAAAAACATATCAATATGTTAAGTTCCTTAGCAAATCACATCTAGATTAAGTTCATAAAGCTTTTTTTTTTTTTAACCTTGCAAATCTCCAAACTTGTGCTACTTAATAAAATACAACAAAAGTTTTGACATTCCAGCCACGGAAAAACAGATCTCTACCTCTGAGGTGGCAGTAATCCAAGCAGTTACTAGGATCTACGAAATATGAGGCATCATTAGAATGCTCGGGAAAAAAATCTACAGAAATATGTACATCCTTGTCATGAATCTGACCGTTGAGTTTATGCAAAAGTGGAAAAGGAACCTCACTCGTTCCTTCCCTGGTACCTTCACAGCGTCTCCCGTCCCAGTTTGACTAGTTGAATCTAGGGACACTTAAAAGGTAAATCCTAGCCTCCTGGCTGTCCTTCCGTCTCCCAGGATTCTGCTAGGCCGCCTCCTAGCCTCCTGGCTGTCCTTCCGTCTCCCAGGATTCTGCTAGGCCGCTCAGTTGGCAAGCTTAAAGTCCAAAGATTCCGCACTCTCCGTCTTTAAACGGTCATGTCACAGAGACACGAAGGTTAGCACAGAACATTAGTTTCCAAACTACTACCCACCGCAGAAACAGGCGGGAAGGCTCCGCGGCCACCTAGCCTCTCCGCCGCGCACATGGCCGGCCGCAGCTCCCACCCCCGCTGCCGCGCAGGCGCCGGGTGGGCCGGGACTTGCGGTCGCCGAGAGCGGATCATTCCGCCGCTTTCTTTGTGTGGCTGAAGCGCTAGAAATGGCATATTTTCATCCCTTTCGTTAAGAAATCAGACTCTCTTTCCCCTCTCTCCCGGTGGGAACAGAGTCAGGGAGTGGGTAGGAGCGGGATCTGCCGATGAGTGCAGAGGCGGAAAATCCTCGGGCGAGCAGCTGACGAGGGCCGGGTCCGGGAGGGATGCTGGGAGCTTGACTCACTCGCACACCATGTGTCCCTCCGCGCGCAGCACGGGGGACTTTTCGGTGGGGATTTTGGGCGCCGACCAGACGCGGCATTTTCGGAAAATAGCGCCCTGTGCTGCTGAAGCGCTTTGTGTGTAGCGGGGCCGCGTCAGCCCGGCCGGGTACGAGGCGCCTCGGGTCCCCGCACCACCTCCTGCTGCCTTCCCGTCGCCGCTCCCGAAGCTTTTCCAGGTCAGTGCGGGTCTGTGTAGGGCCCTGTTACCACCGGATGTGGAAGTTGATCTCTTCGCTGGTAAAAAATAATTCCACTTCCCCCGGAACCCAGATCATCCCCGCGATTTCCTGTTTATTGCATTAAGGCGCCGGGTTTCCGGGGCTCCTGGCCCCGCTTATTCCGCGGGGGTCGGC